TAAAGATTTTATTTATTTATTTGACAGAGACAGAGACAACGAGAGCAGGAACACAAGCAGGGGGAGTGGGAGAGGGAGAAGCAGGCTTCCTGCTGAGCCGGGAACCCGATGTGGGACTCGATCCCAGGACCCTGGGATCATGACCTGAGCCGAAGGCAGTCGCTTAACCAACTGAGCCACCCAGGTGCCCCATTTCATGTTCTATTTTTAAAGGGTGCTGTCCCTTGAGGTCTCTGGCTTTCTCATTCTAGTTGCTCAGTAAATGCTCTTTAATGGAGTGAGTTTATTGAGATCATGCCCTCTTGTTGTGGGAGGGAACCTTGGAGACCATCCTCTCCTTTTACAGATGGAGAAACAGGCTCAGAGGAGAAATTACTTGCCCAAAGCCAGACCCTCAGTTTATGCAAATGAGAACTAGGACTTGGGCTTCCCTACTGTCCAGTCAAAAGTTCCATCCTACACATACTTCTAAAAAAGCATATTCTTTTTATAGACCACCACATATCTTCTTCTCTATACAACTGCCCAACTATCTATAAAGACCTGTGTGTGTAATATCCTTTTTTTTTTTTTTTTTAAGAGGTAAGAGGGAACTAAAATTCCTGAGCTCAGATTTCCTCTCACTGGGTCTGGTGGCCCTGCTCTCTGTAGGGGAGCAGCTCCACCTTTGTTGATTGGTTTGCCTGGTTGGCCTCCTGGGTGGGATGTTCTCCAGTACCCACAGGTTTCTCAGAGCAGGTGTGCCCTATTCATGTCCTAGGTCCAACAGGAGTCGTCTTTCCAAGTAATACACAGAATGGGCAATTTGTTTTTCTGATTTCTTGAGCTGTTACAGGGATTCCCCAGGAGTCGTCCTGTGATTTTTCTGTATAAATCAGTTGGAGGAAACTGCTAACAGCAGAATTTATTGCTTCCCAAAGGGCCCTCACATCTGGTTGATGGCCTAAATTTGGGCTCAGATATGCCTACCTCACACCAAGTGTAGTTTACTTACTGCTGGTGAGGCTCTGCTTTCCTGAGGTTTGAGGCTTCCTTTCTGACCGCTGCTCCCCTCTCCAACTCCCATCCCATTCTCTTTTTGACCCCACTGCCCAGTGATAGGCCTTCTTTGTGCGTTTTCTGACAGTTTCCTGTGCACAGAACTCCGTTGCTGAATTACGTATTCATCTAGATCAGTGCTCCTTTAGAGAAACTGTCTCTTTGGGCCTTGTTTATCCATGTGACAGCAAGCTTGTTCCCTTAGGTTGTCCTGTCAGTCATTAACCTATTTAGTGAGCCAAGCAGTGCCAAGCAGTCTTCTTGCACTAGGAGTGTAGTGAACAAGACATGCAAAATTCCCACCTGCTGGTGGGAACCAACTAATAATGGACTAAAAGAATGGAATGATGTTAGTTAACTCTGAAAAACAGTAAAGCTGGGCTTGAGGATAGTGAGCAGGAGGGGCGCCATTTCAAGAGGAGAGAGAGATGGCCTCTCTGAGGAGGTGATGATTTACGCAAGTCCTGACACAGTGGTAATACAGTTCATGTAAGCATCAGAGGGAGGGGCTGTAAGTGGGGCTGGAACAGGGGCCCAGGCTCTGGTGTGGAATGGGACCGTGGGGAAAGGGGTGAGTGGCAGGAGTCGGGACTAGGTGGTGGTGCTTGCATATACCAGCAGCCTCATTTGCAGGCTCTCCCTCGGAGGGTCTGATGGATTCAGTGTACCAAGTTCCTTCATTAGCAGGAGGATATCTTGTCAGCCGATGTGCAAACCCAGACTCTATAAACTCATTGAATGACTTCAAGAGAAGTTGTTTCTTACTCTGAAGTAAGATTTTTGACATGTGAATGACATGTTTTTTCTTATATGTTTGGGTCACACAGGCTTGCTTTGCTTCTCTTGTGAGTCAGGACTACGTCAATGGCACGGATCAGGAAGAAATTAGGACTGGTAAGAATTTACTCTTTGTAGATTATGTTCTTACCTTCAGCAAGATTCCTAATTGCTGAATTTATACTCGACGTGTTTCAGTTCTATTTGTATCCTAAGAGAACTTTTCCAGAGAATAAGATTTATGCAGTCATTTCTATATACTACTGGTTCTTTGTTCACTTTATTAATTGACATGTTCCCTCATAATGAACCACTTAAAATGAGCTTTCCATTTTGGTATAGGACAGTGACAACCAACAATGCATACTGCTTTTTTCAAAAAAGTTAAGTTTTGATTATTTTTTGAAGGTGTTACAGAGAAAAGTCTCTTGTGCTTCCCTGACTTCACCCAAGTTCTGTCCCCAGAGGCAGCCAGTGTTTCTGACTTTTTTGTACTATATTTTACATGTTACATTTTAACTGGAAGTCATGATGCTACTCGCTGGATCTCTGGATGGATTGTCTCTCTTCAGAAGAACTTTTGTGTTGTAATGAGGTATCATTCACCTCATAAAAGCACAAATTATGTGCCATTTAATGTTGGTTAATACATGGGGGTTGGGAGTCAGTATCACTGCTGTGACCAGAATTAAAATTCCAGATTACATTATGGGAAGATGCCATTTTGATATTTTGACTGTTCATTTATGAGGGAGATATATGTGTCTAGTGTTTTTCTTAATATTTTGGTCTTTTTTTAAATAAGGTGTTGATCAGTGTATCCAGAAATTTCTGGATATTGCGAGACAGACGGAATGTTTTTTCCTACAAAAAAGATTGCAGTTATCTGTCCAGAAACCAGAGCAAGTTATCAAAGAGGTATGAACTCACATTTCTTCTCAACTTTTAGGAAGAGCACATGTTGTCAGGATTCCATATGTGCTTTAAATGAGACACATCCTTTTCCCACAAGTTACAGTAGGGCTTTATAGATTGAATACAAATGTTGCTAGTTGTCAGTGTTGATGACAAGCTGGGCAGGTAATGGAGCCAGGGGTGGGGGGGGCGGGAAGATGGGCTTCAAACAGAGCAGTTTCATTTGCTGGGTTTCATGGAAGATGAAAGGCTCTGCTGCTTGAAAAAGGTGGAGAAGCCATTAATGTAGACAACAAGCTCAGTCTGGACAAAAATTGTGAGCTGTGTGTATCCCCGGCTGCCTTAGACACAGGAAGGGCTCAAGTTTTGTTCAAGGAATCAAAAATTAAATGTTCTGTCCAGGTTCCTTGAGACTCAGGATTTCATTTATCTCAGTTGTTTGAAACTGGGGCATTTGGAAATGTGTTGAGGTTGCCACAATGACTGGAAAGCTTTATTGGCATTTAGTTTGTTGGGCCAAAGCCTGCCAAGTGCATTGTGGAAGGGAGAAGAATCATCTTGCCCAAGAGACCTGTGATGCCCCTAATGAGAAACAATAAATTGAAATGATTGTTTTTGGTACCTTTTGAAGTAACTACTCCCAATTAATTGAAAACATTCTTTTTATTCATTGATATCAGCTGTTGAGAACGTGAAGGGTAAGATGATATTTTACAGTTTATCATTGTCAGATCATATCATGTCAGAACACTTGAGTAAGAACATAGGTATGTTCAAGGCCAGGCCTTAATAAAGAATTATAATGCTGATACTCATTTAAAAAGCTCTTGAATATGAGATTTTAACACTTCATCCTGAACTGAAAGAACAGTGGTTTTGGACTCTTTTTAAACAGTTGTTAGCATATATTTGATTCTCAGTGTTTTAGATTCTCAGCAATAGCCTTTGGACAGAGGGTGGGGTGCCTGGGGACCAGGATGCGAAAGAGACTGATTTTCTTTGGCTGCCCTTTGGTACTTTAGAATATTGGAACATCTGCATTACTTATTAAAAGAAAATGAAAAATAAAAACTCCCAGTGTTAGGCATCTTCCATTGGAGGAATTGCTGTGGGTTGTTCAGATAGTGGAGCCAAGCAGGGTAATGGGCATACAATGGTTTAATTGATTCTCTTGTTTTGAATTTACTTCTTAAAGCTCTGACCAAATCAGAACCTATTTTCACTTTTCATGAACTTGCTCTTACTTCGTTGTCCTCATTTGCAGGATGTCTCAGAACTAAGGAATGAATTACAGCGGAAAGATGCTCTGGTCCAGAAGCACTTGGCAAAACTGAGACATTGGCAGCAGGTGCTGGAAGACATCAACGTCCAGCACAAAAAGCCAGCCGAAATCCCTCAGGGCTCCTTGGCCTACCTCGAGCAGGCATCTGCTAATATCCCTGCACCAATGAAGCAAACCTGAGCCAGAGCTGGCCTGAAGGTGATCTGGTGTGTGAGTCAGTCTAAACACGGTTTTGACAAACATCACTTCTTGTGGACATGACATCTTGGAAGAACTCTTTGCCAAAGAATGATGATTTTTGTTGATGATCTCACCTCAAATTTTCCCCTTATTTTTATAAGCGTTATTTCTTGAGTACTTTATAAAATGCCTATATAGTTTTGGTAAATCAAGTAAATTTTCCTGTTTTTAGCAAAGTTTAGACTGGTAGTGTGATGCTACTTACAGATTTCCTTTTCATGTTTCTTTTTTCTGTTTGTATTTTTTTGTTGTTTTTGTATGACTTAATCTCTTTGTGTTCCAGTTTTAGATTAGCTTGTATGATCTGATCTGAGAATCAGAGGATGAGGAGTTTGGTGGTGGGCCTTTTATGACAATTATCCCTAGGTGGTAGTGCAGAAAATAGGTAAATTTGCATGTTTCAAAATTTTAAATTACTTCAAGAAGAAGAATCTAATACAGTGATGTTTGTAATGCATCCAGAGCTCTTAGAATGAGGATATTTTGTAAATAGGTTGAAAGGATTATAATATCCTAAGTTAGTGTAGTAATAATATAGTAGGACCCTTACGTTGATTTTGACTTTTATTTGGGCTAAGCTTATATTTTGTGTGGTGTTTTTTCACTTTTTAGAGCGGAGGTGTGTAGTAAGAGCAGTGATAAGCTAAGTTTTGTTACGTTCTGCAGTGATGAATCAGCGTAAGTAACGGGACAGACCTTGTTTTCAGCATGGCACTTGCGTACGTGCAGTATGAGAAGTTAAAGCTTGCCATGATCATCTTTTCATTTTGAGTTTTGTTCGCTTGTGTCGTTTTTGTTTCTGGTTTTTTGTAGCAGAATTTTCATTAAGGATGATTCTTGCCAATGAATAGTTGATTCCAAGGGACTGGGGCCTCTGGGTGGGGAGTGGGCTGCAGGGTGACCCTCAGCGAACTCCCCATCCTCAAAAATCATGGGAGCCTCAGCTTTTGGGGGAAGACATTTTACCCTCTTGTTGGTTACACGGGCCAATGAGATTCTCTGTTGAGCTGCCCTTGAGAAGTGCAGAAGGGCATTGCACGTGGTGCTCCCTAGGTGGGATTTTCCTTTCTCTGTTGTTTACCAGTCTCTTATCAGATTACATCTCCTAACCCAAAACAAATGCTCTATTGTTTTCTAAATAGGCAGTACTTCTGCAAGTCAGGTGTCCTGACTTGTTTTGTTTTCTTCAGCCTTGAAGGCTCCTCCCTCCATAACATTGACATCATCCATTCATGGTTGTTTGGCCTGGATGCCACCTGGTCCCTGAAGTCTCTGCACGCTTTCTCTGCTGCACCCTGAGGACACAGGACTTCCCCTCTCTTTGCCAGCCTTGCTTGATTCTCCCTGGGGGTTAGTGATTTGTATCCGTCTCTGTGCCCCTCATGAGAAGGAGGCATTGTTCCCCTCTGAATGTACAGTGACCACATATTATTTATCTTTTATGCATAATACTTACTGCTCATTTTTGTTTGTGTGCATGTGTGTGGGGTACCCAGCCTGGGGCCAACCCCTCAGTACAGATTAAACAAAGCTTTTAAAAGTATGACTTCAAGGTTGTTAACCTGGCCACCTCATACCAATTAGAAGCTCTGATTGGCAGGATTAAGTTTTAGGCAGTCTTGCAGTAATAGAGGTTCTTACTGAAAAGATTGGGAACTATTTTGTTTGGTGCTCAGTGAAAATATTTTGAATTCATGTAAGGACCAATTACTGCCATTTATTTTTTCAAAAGTTTTCTGTCAAATAAATAGCAGTTTTTCAGTCTTACCTGTTTGTAAGTATCTTTTTCCTTTTAATGACCTCTTAATTGTTGATGAACATAGAAAACCCTCTGAGCTGCTGTCTCCTTCAGTGAAAAAATAAGAAACCATCAGCTGGGATTTCCCTTACTTTTCCACTCGCAGAATGACAAACCTACCCACCTCTTCAGGGCATCCTTTTTTTCCTTGCTGTTCCATCTCCCGAAGTGCCTGCCGTGTGTAAGACCAGCCTTTCCACCAGTGTCCGGGGTCCCAGGTTAGTTGCCTTCTTTAGGCTTAATCCTTGGGTGGTGTTCGTCCCCTGTCTACTGGATCATTCCCTCCAGCTCACAGAATTCTTCATCTCCCAACTTCAGCATTTCCCTCGGCGCTTGAGCTGCTGCCCTGTCTCCCGGTCCCTTGTTCACAGTCTCCAGCATGTCTCCTCTCCCTTCCTTCTCCTCCAGGCTGCCCCCCCCACTACCATCACTGTGCTGTTATGGTTACTAGCCACTTTGCTGGTGCTAAGTTGAATGGATACTTAATCCTTTTTACTTGAATTCATTCTCTTTGATTCATCTTTCCTTTTTTACCCAGCTTCTCAATATTAACATTTCTGAGTATTTGGTCCTGGGGCCCTGGAGGCTGTAGTGGAGTGCGGCTCAGTTCTCCCTTCAAGAGAGTCACTATGGGGGGAGTACAGTTACCAAAGCTCCGCCTTCGGGGCTCTGCCGCAGGGTTCCCAGAGATCTCCAGTTAATGTCTTGTAATTTTAAGTGTGTCTTGGGATATAGCTCCTGGAGGACCTGACTGACATGGATGTTAGTGGACATGGTCTGAGAGAGCCAGCAGTAGGATGGGGTTTGGGGACTGGCTCATGTACTGTCCGACTGGCAAAAAAGACCCGTGGTGGTACAGTTACCCGTGGCCCAGGTGCTGAAGATTCCACCAGTGGTGCCTCAGGGAAACCTCCCAGTGGAAGGAAACATTGCCAGCGCAAGGATCAAACACTGGAAGGTAAGAGGGAACACTGTATACAAGAACAGTGGAGTTGGCTGGTTATCCCCTCACCATCTTGACTCCCCCTGGAGGAATAATGACAAACTACCGGTACTTAACAAATAGTCAACAGCCACCCTGAGTGCCTGGGGCATCTTTGATGATCTCCTGCTGGGGGACAACAGATAGTTGAGCTAGTAGGAGGTAATAGATCAAAAATAATATTGCAGGGCCGGTGCTTGGGTGGCTCAGTCAGTTAAGAGGCTGACTCTTGATTTTGGCTCAGGTCATGATTTCAGGGTCGTGAGATTGAGCCCCACGTCAGGCTCCACACTCAGTGGGAACTCAATGGGGAGTCTGCTGGAGATTGTCTCTCCCCCTCCCCCTCATCCCTGTCTTTCTCCCTCTGCTCACATGTGCGCGCTGTCTCTCAAATATTCAAAATAATAACAATAATAATAATATTGCACCCCCAAGGTGATGGTGGAGATTAGTGCTACCATAAGAAATCTAAAGGATGCAGGGAGAGTGGTTCCCTAACAAAGCTCCATTTAATTTCCCAACCTTACCCTTGCAGAATCCAGATGGATCCTGGAGAATGAGTGTAGAGACCAAGTAACCTCAAGTGCAACTACTGTGTTGGATATTACATGATGCTAGAGCAGCTGATAAGGGCTGAAGTACAAGATAGCAGCCATTTCTTGGGCGAGTTCATTCTTTCCCACCCTAATTAAGAAACACTTTACAGCACAGCAATCTTCCTTTCTAGTTTCGCTCCAGCAATGTTAGCCCTTTCTTCTGTCATAATAGGGCCTACCGAAATTTATCACCATATCTTGCTGTTTCTTCCTCCTGACTCAATCCTGAATCAGCTCATTTCTCTTCATCTCCACTGTTCTCCCCAGGTCATCACCGTCACATCTGGACCACTTGCTCTTGAGAGATTGATGGAATCAGATTATGTACATAAAAACCGGAAGAATGTTTTATCTCTCAAATGAGTTTCTTTGTCAGTATTACCTAGGGTATGGTAGGGTATGGAGAGGTAGGATTTTAGTCACAGCTAGTGAAGGTGTAAACTTGATAGAAACTTTCTAGATGATAATCTCGTTATGTCAGAAAGCTTAAGCGTGTATCCTTTGACGCTTTACTTCACTTCACTTAAGGAATATGTCCTAAAGAAATAAATGGTAGAAGCATGCACAGATTTAGTTAAGAAAGATGTAATCATTGCAGGGTAGAATCTTGAAATTGAACCATCTTTCACTCACCTGCACCAAGAAAGAAATCAAGCTGTGTAAAGTCTCAATAAAATTCTGTCCCTGCAGCTGGTGTCCTGCTGAGTTAAAGGACAGTCGTACAAAGTGCAGCTACTTTGCTAGTCATCAGGAGTTGCAGTGTTAGAAAAAGGTTTCAGGGCGCCTGGGTGGCTCAGTCGGTTAAGCGACTGCCTTCGGCTCAGGTCATGATCCTGGAGTCCCGGGATCGAGTCCCACATCGGGCTCCCTGCT